CGTCCTCTTAACTAATATATCTTTTTCCACAGATCGTTACGAACTTATTTATTTATCCTAACATGTATTTATTTTCACCCACACTCTGACACTACTGGCCCTAACTTTAAGCAGCCCACCGAGATTTTCTCGGTAGCTCGCCTAACCAATCCGGCCCTGCTCCTTACGATAAATGGTAAATATTCATCAAGACATCAATAACTTATTTTTTCTGAGATGTAACAACAATATAATTTATCACATATCATTTTAAAATACTTTACAACGATTATCATTGGCAATATTAATAAATTTCAGTAGGTAGCATACTACATGACTACAAAATTAATAATTATCATACAAATTTTAGTGAGTAAATTGAAAAGGTGCACTTGTAAATTATACAAATATTTCATTGTTTTCCACTTATTAGTCTGACACTGGTGAGCATACTGATAAATATAAAAATATCAGTTTAACATGAATATATATAATATAGTTTGTATCTACCAAACATATTTTATATAAGTACATAAATTATCTTTAATTTATACTTATATTGATTATATCTAATAATACTACTGAATGGTATGGAAACTTAATTGTCTTAATATACTATTTAAAAAATTAATCTATAAGTATTAAAAGGATTTTATATATATATATGTATATTTTATTTACATAGGTGTGTGCAAACTCTAAACGCAGATGGTGACCATATATTATCATCAGCCCTCTTATCAACAATTGTATAAATACAAAACATTTAAATTTTATTTATTTTTTAAATGTTTGTTATAACATTATAAATAACACTTTGAAGCCCAGTCATATATTRTAATATATACACAGTATTAAACTACAAAATCCACATAGTGAATTATTCAATTTTTTTCAAAATAATCCCTTTTTTCCTTTAAATCTATTCTTCAAAAATATCACCTAAAATTAAAATTGGTAATTCAGGTATATTTATAAGAAATATAAAGGTGATATGATTGAGGTATCTGGTATAGGATGTTTTTGACAATGAAAAATTATAAGGCGTGCCTGAGAACTCTTTGGTTGCTCACCAAAGATTTTTTATAGGTAATAAAAATTATATTTTAAATTTTATATTATTTTAAATTATTATATTATTTAAATAATTTTGAATGAAAAAATGAGAGTAAAAAGTATATTTTAAAATTCTTAATATTTAGTAATCCTCTCATAGTAGTATTGGACATTTGATTTATATACATAACTTTTCAAAATGTTCAAACCATTAATTTAAAATATTTAAAAAAATATTGTATTAAAGCATATTACAATTCTATGAACATGYTTATGAATATTATAATAGTAGGTGTGTAATAAACGGACCAAAAAAATTAAATCTCTATAAAAAAAAAGATTTAATTTGAATGTTATTGTTCAAATAGATTTTTTAACTGATAATATTTAAAAAGCTTAATATATTAATTAATATTATTAGTACTTAAATATTTAAAACCCATAAGACACCGTTTTTACATTTTTATAATATCATTATACAGATGTACATAAAAATGAACATTTRCCATTAATAAAGAAATATAATGAAGACATTTTAATAGAATTATTAATCAGTCTAAACTATAAGAAACATTAAGCTTTAAACATTTAAATTAATAAGTGATGACACTCACCTGTGCCTTTGGTTATAATAACGACTATAACTTCTAGTTCTGTCACGCGAGTTTGAATCACTTGAATACTTACTCATAATTATTCTAGCTCTTATTCCTGCAAATTTAAATAAAAACTTAATTATTTGAATTATATTGATAACAACTAACTTAAAATACATTTATTATTTAAATGATTACTAGTTCATGATTAAAATGCAAAACATATTAATAATTTATGTATGAATAAGATTACATCAACACAAAGATATCTACTTAACTTTTGTAAAATGGGGAGGAATCAATGAAATAAACATAAACTGCTATGTAATGCACAAAAAATTAGCGTTTTAAAGAATTTATTATCCTTTAAAAAAAAAAAGTAATCATAGTATATGGAAAAATAATTTTAGGTGAGTCACAAGCCCCTTCTCTCAAATTCAAAACCTAGTTATACGTGTTTATGCAGTTATATTCACTATTCGATAATATTTATGTAAGTAACCTTCAAATTGTTACAATTTAAAAATGCTAATAAATAACAAAAAAAAAAAATGCCAACATAAAGGCAATGTTCATCAAAGCTTGATAACAAGTTTTATCACTGTAATATTAAAAGTAACATCACAGGGTTTGTTCTGGTAATTGTAAATTTGCAATGTATTGCAAGTAAGTCAGATAGAGAAAACAAATTGAGTGCTGAAATCTTCTTAATATAATATAATATATAAGTATAGTAAAATTTATCTTATAGAAAGCCAAAAGCTTTAAAAGAATTTGAGTAAATAACATTAATTAACCATGGAAACTATATTATGCAAAAGCATATAATAAGACTTTTTTGAAAAAACTTTTTAATTTGTTTTGTAACAGCTGTTATAGAACATCTAATAAAACCATGTAGGAACAACACATACTAATGTATTACATGTACTGGTGAATGCAATGTTATAATTTTTTTTTTTTGATATGATTGATTTAAAAATTTTTGACATAATAGAAAGTACATAATTAGGATAATAATCTGTTGTATTAGTTACATCAATATCCTTTGAAAAAAGCCAAACTTGACTTCCAAGAAATTGGTAAGGAACCATTATTAAGATATAAAATAAATGCATATAACAAAGGAACAACTAAAACAAATTTAAAATGTATAAGTAAAATAAAAAACATCATCTGAGTTGTAAGCAATATCATGATAATACTATTATATTGTTTTTGAACATCAGTAAGATTAAAGATAATAGAAAATAAATTTAAATCTAGTGAAACAATTGTAGCTGGATTATATGAAATTGAGATTGTAACCGATTCTATATAAACACTTTGAATTAACAAAATATTCAGTATCATGTTTTAGGTAAATTTCATATMATTAATCAATTGAGCACAAATGTAGTATATCAATCTCCTCACATTTTTCATTTTTTTTTTAAACAATTAGTTTATTATGCTTAAAAGATGGTGCAAAAATGTTTTACCAGAAACAATTATTTTAAAAGTTATAGCCTTCCGAAGTTCGCGATTTTATATTTAAAGCATGCAAGGCACGAGCAACATTATTGCCACACACAATGAGTATGTTTTTTTTTTTGATTTTTACAGAATAAATAAATGATATATCTATTAATTTATTTTGTAATTACGTTCAAGTAAATAACAGATGAGTATATTGTAACCTTGCGTATTTAGTATAACATAAGTAGTGGCTCCCTTTGCTWGTCGGCTCCGGTTGCTAAACTCGAGATCCTCCAGACCTTTCATTGGATGTGGGCTCAACCGCAAGCCCCTGGGGCTAAAGTAGCAAACCTGGAGGTGAGGGAAGAGGAAAGCATCCCTGCTCTTCGGGCAGACAGAAATCCTAATAAGTAAACTTAACTTTGTAGATTAAAGTAGCACAAATAAAGTAGCTCCGTTCACCAAGACTAAGAGAACTTGACTTTGCCTACAGGCCCAGTGGCCATACTCAAGGTCCTCCAGACTTCTTGTTGGAGATATACTCATCAACCAAGCACCCCCATGGCTAAAATATTGAATAAATATATCTACTTAAGCTTATTAAACGGGTTACTACTCTGGCTGGATATAAAATAGTGTTGAGCGGCRAGCGCATGCATATAAACCTAYGATCGCAAAATTTGGAAAGCTATAACTTCTAAAATAATAGTTTCCGGTAAAAAATGTTTACACCATTGTTTTATGCATAAGCAAATAAAGCAAATCGTTTAAAATAAAAATCAAAAATCATGAGGGGGTTGATAAAGTGCATTTTAGCCATTGATTGTATTAAATAACCAAGTTCATCAGTGGTAGTAATAGAATCCTTTTTTATTGATGTAGTAACATTATCATTTAAATCATCTATGATTACAAGTATAAATAATTTAAGTGAACAATGGATAATTAATACAAAATAAAAATGTACATTTATAACACACACAAAGCAAACACAACAGACGCTATCACCACAACTTTCCTTGTTGGTTGTTTTCATATATATTTATTTTTTAAGAAAAGTTATGGACAATTTTAAACTTAGATATTTTATATATTCATAACTTGTTTTAAAATTAAAATTAAAAACAATTAGGATACAGAATACCTACTATTTTAATATTAAATTTAAAAAAAGGCAAATTTACTGTATCTAATAGTAAAACCAACAACCCAAATTGGATTTTGCATAACGCAAATTTGCCATGTTGGATATTTATAAAATGGAGGTCATGAAAGCATCATGTGCTCTTACCCACCAAATGCTAACAGTTCAAGGTTAGTTAAATTAAACTAAAAACTCATAATTATGTTAATACATTGAATAATTCAATTAAATGTACACAAACTCATGTAAATGCACTTATTATTTTAGGAGACATTTATAAAAAMTTACTTATGTGTATAATAAGTAATTTTCTATATGAAAAGTATAGTATTTTAATACCTTACCGTCATCCAATTTCAAGTAGTAGGTAAGTTTTTGATTAAACTTCTGCAGTCAGGTATAACAAGAACGAATTTTAAACTTACAAATCCCAATGATCATAATTTACCAGGTACAAATTAATGTATCTAATATTTACAATACAACAATTCAAAATTTCAAAACATTGTGAATACTATTATCATAATTCATTATAACCAAAATATTAACTTTGATAACAGCTCTGTGGAGGTCAAACACAAAAATATAAATATTACAGTAGGTACGGCTAATAACTACGGTGGAGGTAGGAGGTCTTAACACAGTTAACACAATATATCAGATATAATAAATATAATATTGTTGAAAAGAGAGCAGATATATTTTAATTACCTTATTAATATTGTTTTACACTATGCATAGTACTTTAACACTTCAGTACTTGTTAAACACTTATACCTACTCACACTAATATCTTATGTGTAATTGTGTAAGCGATTAAAAACAGTGCTAAACATATAACTATAACAGCATTTTTTGTAAAACTGGGAAGACAAATGAATAGAACCAAGTTTTATTACTATGCAATAAGTGTCCAGTGTCTATAATGCACAAAGCAGATACTAAATATGACCCAGTTTATTGAAAACAGATTCGAAAAGAATATTATCACTGGAGTAGACCTTATAGACCTGACAACGCTACAACAGTCTATATGATACGGTCAGCCATAAGATTTTATTATATAAAATTTACAGCCTAACTAAAGACAAAGGTTTTATGCACATAATCAAAGCACTACTCCAACATAGAAAATTTTACGTGACACTAGGAAACAAAAAAAGCAGATGGAGAAGGCAAAAAAATGGTCTGCTACAAGGCACTGAGCTGGCCCTGATCCTTTTTAATATCTGTGTTCATATTGATCGTTCATGATTAGGGCTGGGATTTTGATGCAAAGGCATCTTTTTTTCTRATGTTTTGAAACGTTGATCCGTAAGTATAAAATGTGTTTTAGTTGATCTTGATACTGATTATTTTAAAGTAGGTATTTTTTATTTTGCATTTTTTTGCATTTTTTTGCATTTTTAGGACATTTTTTTATGTTTTTAGTGCATTTTCTTGGTTTTTAGAGCATTTTTCATAATTTTTTTCATAAAATGAACGAAAATTGTTGCGATTCACAAAAAACTTTCGGCAAACTGCTGACGGTACGAATAATAAATTATATATAGTATCATATTATATTCATATATTTCATCATAGCTAGGGTTTTCCCCGAAAATTATCACCGTTTTATTATACCTATTATGAATTATTATTTTTATTACACCATACATACATACATAGGTACAAGTTAAAATTTTTTTTTAAATTATTATTTTAGAATGAATGATTAAGAAAAGTAACAACGTAAAATAAACAAAAAATAAATACATTACTGTAGTATAATTTAAATTTTTTTTCTAATTTTTAACCGATAATAAATATAATTTAAATGCATTTTTTTAGTGCATTTTTGAGTTTTTAAAGTCATTTTTGCATTTTTTTGAGGGCATTTTTTGAAATTTTTTAGGGCATTAAAATCCCAGCCCTATTCATGATCAACTGATCACTCCAGACACCAGACGCAATGGATTTCATCTACGCCGGTCGCCGATGATACAACAATAGCAGTTCAAGATAACAACTTTGAAGGAGTATAAACTAAACTAGAGGCTTCAATTAAAACCATGACAACATACTGCAAGCAGAGTAGGGCGTTATTCGAATAAAATATTATTTAGATGATTATTTACATAACATTTTATTCGAATAATTTTAAAACAATATTATTCGAATAATTTTCAAACATATAAATATTTGAGTAAAAATTATTCAAATAATTTTCGTTCATTTTGTTTGGGTAAACATAGATTGTTTGAGCTAATTTAAAATAGGCACATATTATTATRAACAATAGTTGGTATTCTATTTTAAGTTACATAATTGTAAATWTTATTTGATTCGGAAAAACAAATTAAGTCATTCTACCTAACACCAAAAAATCTGAGACTATAGTACTGAAACTGGACTATACTGTATATATACTAGATAAAATAATAACGTTTTCAATATTGATAAATAATTACTATTAAGATACATATTAAATGGTACCGCGAAAAAATAACCCTGGAAATTTAGACCCCGAATAAATAACCCCGTGAAAAAATAACCACAGAAAAAATAACCCCAAATGAGATTTTGCAAATTAATCTAAATATTGGTGTTAATATGTCATTGSGTGAAAAAAATTAAAAAATGTTTAATGTTTAGGTATCTATTACCTACGTACAATTCAAATCGATCAGATATATAATAACAAGGTACAGCGACAATGTGAAATAATATTATAATGGATAGATTATATAATATTAGAAAGGTACCTTTATCTTTAATGTTCTGATAGAAGCGGTAATTAATAAAATTTGTCAAGTCCTGTGAGTTAATTCTTAGTATTTGGTACTACAGTGTGCTTTCGTATATTATATATTTCTCTGTGCTTTGTTTTAATT